AATTCTTCCATCTGGTTATCCTCTAGAAAGGTGAACATAAACTACCCAGAATTTCCCAGTCAATATTGCCATCGTGTTCAGATTAAAAAAAAGACTGTTCTTACTACAAAACTAACCTTTGAGGCAGAAAATAAATAGCAAAGATGTCTTGGAACTTACTTGCTGTGTCCTAGAAACCAATTAAAGAGACTGTTTTTCTTGGCCAAACCAGTAAGCTGGATTTTCTTTTTCTTTTTCTTTTTGTTCTTCCCCTCAAGTTCTGTGGAGCTACTGTATGTCTCCATGAACATACAGTTGTGAAGTGATCCAGATCCAGACATTTGTACTTTTTATATGTACACAGGACACAGACGCTTGATACGCAACTCCCAGTTCTCCATTTTCTTCCCAAGCCAGGAGACATAGAAGAAGACTGTTATAATCAGACCTAGCCATCTTAATGTTTGCTTCCAGGTTATCTTTTACAAAGTTAACTTGGGTTGGACTGTGTAATGCATGTTTAAAGTGGCTGCATGGCTTTTCAGGGAAGTGATAGACTTGCAACGTAGGGAGGAGAAAAATATGCTCCCTTTATGGAAAAGTACTGAGCTAATGCCCAACAAGTTTCTGAAACCTCCCAATCCAGTGGAAGTCCTTGTTAGTCCTCATTCAATGGCAATTTCTTCACTGCAAGCTCACTTTTCATAAGCCCCCCCCCCAAACCTATAGCATAGACAGCTGATCTGGATCTTGGATTCTCAACCGTCCCAATGTAATAGTCTCGGTTCCACCACAAAACCGCGGTAGACTAAAGCGCGTGTGACTAAAGCGTGGTGACAAAACGGCACCGTCAAAAGCGCGCGACAACAGCACGCCGACAACAGCGTGCCCACAGAAGCGCGCTGTAACATAACCCTAAAAATAACCCTAAACCTACCCCTAAACGTAACCCTAAACCTACCCTAAACCTACCCTAAACCTAACCCTAAACCTTACCTTAAGGTAAATCACGCTTCTGTCGGCACGCTGTTGTCGGCGCGCTGTTGTGGGCGCACTTTTGACATCGCAGTTTTAGCGCCGCAGTGTTGTTGGCACGCTTTTGACGTTTGCGGTTATGTCGTGCCACAAATAGTCTCTCCAAAGGAGAGGTTTCACATTGGACCTGGCTATTTCATCTTTTTCTAATCCTGGATAGACGCATGGTTTGGGTAGGTGGGGTTAGGCGGAGTTTGAAACACAACAAAGGCAGCCCCCTACCCTCTCTTGACATTTCTTTGAAAATCAATAGGGAGATTTTCCTGAGCCCTGGTGGCACAGGGGTTAGAATGCCATATTCAGGCAAACTCAGTCCACAGCCTGGAGTTCAAGGTTGACTCAGCCTTCTGAGGTCATAAAATGAGGACCCAGATTGTTGGGGACAATATGCTGACATTGTAAATCACCCAGAGAGTGCTATAAGGCACTATGCGGTGGTATAAACCGGTAAGTCTAAGTGCTGTTGCTATTGCTTTAACTCTCTGAATCTGGAAGATTCTTGGTTGGGAAAAGCCGTGATAGATAACAGATTACATGCAATAAGTATGCACATGAAGTCAGCATTTCAGTGGCATCAAACATCTTTATCTAAAATTAGAGGAGACTGCTGTTGTGTGAGGTCTGGTCCCTTAAAGTTTGCGGCAAATACAATGATACAGTTCCAAATGCCTGTAATGTTAGCTACTCTTGATCATAGAACAAGAACTGCCAATCAACCAAGCAGCTGCAATGGATTTCCTGAGGAGGTTGAGCAGGATACAGAAAAGCCGATGCTGACTGGGGATGAGGGGAATAGTAGCCCAATGCATCTGAGCTAGGAAAGGATTATTTAGGATGAGGCACATAAAAACCTTTTAAGAAATTATTCCTGTAACAGAACACCATGATTCTGCAGGAATAAAAAGACATTCAAGTTGCTGAATTTTGTTCCTGGCAAAACTTTCCGGTAAAGTTTTATATCATAATCAACAATGTATCATCTAATTTCCACCATTTGTTCCATGGGATGTGGGGGCGGTGGGGGGAGGAAAACAGCTGAGGCCTTGAAACCAGTTATATAAAATTATTGGTGTTGCATGAATTAGTTTTGTTTGCTTTTTCTAAAAACATTGGATTGGATTAATTGTAGGAAGAGAATCATGTCAGTCTATGATAGCAAGAAATCAGAAGTCTGGTAGCACCAGTCATTTTTAATAGTCCAGGCAAGTTAATGGGATTCTATTTGCCCATTGTTACTTAAAGGTAAAGGTTCCCCCACACATATGTGCTAGTCATTCCTGACTCTAGGGGGCAGTGCTCATCTCAGTTTCAAAGCCGAAGAGCCAGCATTGTCCAAAGATGTCTCTGTGGTCATGTGGCTGGCATGGAACGCTGTTACCTTCCACCAAAGGTGGTTCCTATTTTTCTACTTAATTGTTACTTAAGGGTAGTCTTAACATGACAAAACTCTGTATTAACCTATTGATTCCTCTGGAATGCTAAACATTTCCCCTAGTGAATCACTTCAAATTCTCCTCATTTCAGTGAGATATACTTAAGCATTTGTTTCAATCTGTGTCAAATAGCTTAGATTAAACTTAGTGCCTAACTTAGTGCTGGTTGTGTTAAAACTGCAAGAGAACAACGCAAAAGCTTCTTTATGTGCTAACATTTAAGGAGGTTGTGAATCAGGGTCTGTGTGATGTCTGGGGTGGGAGGGAGAGGGGTGCTGCCTTAGGCTTTCAGAAAAAATACTGCTAGGCCTGCAAACTATCAAGCAACTATAAACATTTTCCTCCATAGGACTGTCGTATGTGCTTAAGATACCAAGCTGGCATTTAGTAAGATCAATAAATATGAAGCATTTTTTTAATATTATGCTTCTCTCAAATAAATCTGTGTTCTGTACTGTATATATTTGTATAAATATAATTGACATCGTATTTATTTCTTTGAAATACCCATCTTCACGTTGCTGGATAGTTTATAGTAGCATAAAAATAGGTGCATTCGTCACTGGGGAGGAAGAGAAGGAGCTGAGCTAACAACCTGCACAAATCATGAAAACTCAATGCCTTAAGTTAGTTCGGCTTTGGCATCTTTATGGCTCCCTTCCCTGCTGCTTGAATCTAACCAAGGTTTCTTGTATAATTGGAATTTCTGGGTTCCCCAATAAATACCCCCAAAACTATGGCCAGGCCAATGGTGAATTTCTTTTACTACCGGTTCTGTGGGCGTAGCTTGGTAAGTGTGGCAGCGGAAGAATATTGCAAAAATCTCCTTTCCCTCCCCACTCTGGGGCTAGCCAGAGGTGGTATTTGCTGGTTCTCCGAACTGCTCACCATTTCCGCTACCGGGTCTCCAGAACCTGCTGAATTTCATTCCTGGGCCAGGCCTTAAATAAATGAGGCTTGCCTCTCTGCACTCCAACAACATGTCATGAGAGAAGGGAGAGAGAGGCCAAGTGGTATATTGTTCTTTTTCCATAAAACTTTTCTTTATTATTATTAATAATAATATTTTAAAATCCTCATAAATACTTGACTTGGCAAACCTGTCTCTTAGGAAGTGGTCATACAGATCTGAGGTAGAAAACCCGGTACAGACAATGTATCAAATTCACCCACATAGGTAGTTTAAATACATCCAACATAAAAACAAAGGGGAGGGGAGGGGGAGATTGGGGGGGGGAGGCAAAAAACGGGGAGGGAGAGAGCAGGACTTCGTTGTATTGTTTATTTACATATTTTTTAAAGCACTTAGCACAGTCCAGCCCAAGGGAAGCATGGTTATTATGTCCCATGGATTTCAACGGGAGGGTTATGGTAATGTGCTTAACTCTCCCGCTGAAATCAATGGGTGGTTAGAAAGTGCTTAACGGTGGGCGACCGGGCACGTTTCCCGCCTCCTTCAAAAAAAAAAGCGGGAACCTCCGAGCGAGCGATCAGCCGCTGTGACTTCTGGAAGGCATTGCCGTTCCCGCGACAGCACCCAGATCCAACCTCAGATCGACGACGGTACCGGTTTTAGCTGGGTCAGCTGCAGAACCGAGAGCTGATGGGAAGCTGCTCCGGGGCGGGCGCTTCTTCTGCCCAGAGGCACTGACGCTGCAGGGGGGGGGGGTTCAGGAAGGCAGGACGCGGGGCACCCAGAGTCTTCGCCTACCTGGGCCCGCCGAAGAGAAAAGGATCGAGCCTCATCATGCACGGCCAGTTGTAGCTGGGGAGGATGGGAGGGAAGGAGGTTGCCGCGGTGGGTGAGGAAATGGGGGGGGGGAGCTGTTTGGCTTGCTGCTTGGCGAAATCCAGGGGCAGGCGAAGAGCCCTGTTGCTGACCGAGGGACGGTGGTCCCGTGTTGCGCCCCTTTCTCCCTTCCTTCCGAGGAGGGGTGCCTAGACGACTTTTCCGTTGCTCATTAGAGTCCTCTCTTCTCCAAGCACGGAAATCACAGCGGCGTCCAGGCAATCGAAGCAGGCGTTGGAAAAGTCACCCCTCCGCCTCTACCTACTCTTTCAGGGCTGCGGGGTTTTGCTTTGTTTTAAGGGATCCCCCTGATCATCTCTGGCGCTTCAGACCTTCCGCAACCCCCCGAAAGAGTTACGCGGCAGGAGGACGTACCCTGGTACCGACAAATTTAAAACAGGGAGCGGGGTACACAAATGCTTGGCTTTCCGACGAGGTTCCCAGAAAGTAGAGAGTTGCACGGACAGTGAAGCACGTGTGTATGAATAGGTTCAGCCAAGGGATTGCAGGCTAGTTTTCGGCCTCGCCTCCTCCTTTTGTAGGGTTATAGTATTCTCCACCGCGGCTCCGACATTGCACAGGCCCCCCGACGTTCCCAAAGCAAATGAAGGGAAGAGCTGCACGGTTGCTCTTTGGCACGGCAGGAAAGAGGGAGAAGAAGGCGAGCTGCGAAGAGTCGCGCCGGGCCGGGCCGTCCCGCCGGGTTCGGGTTCCCCACCGCAGTTGTTCGATTCTTCTTCGTCGCAAACGGGAACTCCGGAGGGTCATTGATTCAGTTCCAGCGCCCAGACCTGCTGAGGCCACCCAGTCCTGCCCTTAAGCCTTTTTTCGCCTTGACCTAAAGCATGAGAATATCCCACGGGCTGCTACAGAAAAGTGAAAGAGGGGGGGAGAGAAGAGAGAGAGAGAGAAAACAGTTATTTTAAAAGAAAATTTGGCCATGATTATCAGACGTGGAAGTCGGAGGGGAAGGAATACAAAAAAAAGTGATGCGTCTTTCTCAGTCTCGATCCAGCCCAAACGAAGGCGCATCTAAACCCAGGTTTAACTCCGCCGCATAAGCCCATCACCCTTAATCGGTATAAACACAGTAAAAGCCCGCACTTTAGCAGCTTACAAAGGCAGGAGGCAGTGCCTGACCGTTTTTTGGTTACCTGATGCCTCTGGTTGCGAATTTCCCTCGAGAGTCTGTAAATAAGAACCCAGCGTTCTTCCGCTCTTTTTGGAGTATTAGATTATCAGGAGGAAGGCAATAAATTCCTAGCCTTTATTAACGGCCTTTTTATAAATATCGAAGGCCGTGTTTGGTAAACCCAAGCTGCCCTACTAAATTATGTTCCTTATGAGCCTCTAATTGCCAAGGCGGTTTCAGTGAAAGTTTGGGCAACAGCACTGAATAAATAAGAAAGTTTATACAGGCTCTTGGAAAATGTAAACGCAGAATGTTGAATATGTTTAAGTTTTTAAAGGAAAAAGAAAAGCTTATTTTTAAACAACCCATTTGCTGGATTGTGAAATGTGCCTTTTCATTCCTTTCTTTCCCCATTATTTTTTCCCCAGAGGAAATTCAAGAGATCTGAAACTGAATATAGTTTAAAAGGGGAGGGGGGGCACATACTTCTCACCCATTGTATACCTCAGTTGGGAATCCAGGCCTCGAGATCCCGAAATGGACAAGTGACAGTCGCTTCAAGTATGTATATATAAAACACTATAGTATGATAAACGTATGTAATGTATATAAATAATATACACAAAAAGCAGACGTGGTGAAAGAGCGATATTAGGACTGATCTCTCCGTAAATGTATGAGCTTTGATTGATACAATCTCAACAAAAGGCAACCCAGACTTGCAAAAGCAGGCTTCGAACTTGAGGCTTGTACTAGAATCTCATCCTCTCAATCAGCCGAGCTGATTGGATAGGAAAAGGCTGGATCGTTGCCTTTCATGTCCCGATCAATGGCTGTATTTTCATCATTCCGAAGACAGCCGTAGACATTGGGCAGAACAGTTTAGCAAAACACGGGACCAGGGTCTGTTTAGTTTAACGGAGTGAGATTCCAGGGAAAGGGGGAAAAAAGAAATGAAATCAAATCCGCAGAGAGCTTCGACTATTGTTTTGCTTGGAAAGACTCCACTTTTGTGAGCATATAAGTGTTGGTCGCAAATTGCAATGTATATGTATGTGGGGGTGGGGGGGGGAGAGAGAGATGTTTTCCAGGAAAACATACCAACCGGGCAGCATTTAAAACGAAAACGGGGGAGAAAATCCATGCAGGGAACTTTGGACGAATTTTGAAACTTTTAATCTCCTTTGAAGCACTAACACGAAGTCTCGGTGGCGGGTCCTACAGCGGGGAGTTTCGGCCGCACAGAAGAAAACCACGCAAAAAAAAAAGACAAAGCAGATTCAATGGCTTAAGAAGAAGTGCAAAAAAGAATAAAGGTCCAAAATAAAGGTCCAAAAATCTAAATTTGGCCAAAAAGACTTCAAGGATTGCGTTGCATTTTAATTACCCCCCCCCCTCCTCCGTGTTATATTTGACAGCTTTCCGGCTTCGGAATCCATCCAGAAAAAATCCTCCTTTTCACTCCCAACCCCACTAAAAGTGAGGTCCATTCTTTAGGAAGAGCACGGGAGAGAAAAGCTTTTCGCTACCTGTCAAAAAGAGTTTTCAAAATCTTTGCGTTTTACGTCTTCTCTACCCATCTTACCCGGCTGAGCCTAGCCCCACTAAATTCCGCGCAAGCAAGCAAGAAATACAGCAGCGTCATCTCCCTTCCGAGTGTTGTGGTGTCTTACTGGAGAACAAGGGTTGGAGGTACGCTGGAAGCTTTCGGAGTAACCGCAAAGCCACCCATTAATCCCCAGTATTTCCGGCCCAAATGCATTTGTACGCCGGCTGTGTCTGCATCGCAGGATGGCGGGCAATTCGCTAGCAAAGGCTACGCTTTGAATGGCCAAATGTGCTGGATCATAAATCCTCGTTTCCTCGGTTTTCTATGTAGGGATGATGAGAAAAGGCGCCCTGAAAAAAGTGGGGAGTTGGAGCTTCCAAGAGAGAGAAGGAGAAAAGGGGACGCTTTGTTGCAGACTCTGGGGAACCTCAGCCCTTTCTCTTCAAAATTTCCCTCTATTTCGGTCCTGTTCCCCCACCTCTCTAAACGTGTGCATCTTGCGTCTCCTCTCTAGCTCCCTCGGGTTTTGCGAGGGCTGAAATTTTGAACAGAATTCGTACCCAAAGAAATTACCCTTCGTGTGGGAAGCGGTGTCTGCCTTTCCCGAAGGGAGAAGGCTTTGATCCGCTACCCGAGGCTTCGGGCGTGCAGGCAGGCGGGGGTCAGGCGCTTATCGACCACCTTGCAGAGGTCAACTCAGCGAAAAGTGCCTTTGGGCAGGGAAAGTGGCGTCTCAGGAGCTGCTGGCTACAGCTCCCGCTTGCCACGCTTGGGCGCGGGGATTTCAGATGGTCCGCGCAGAGAGGCTAAGGTTGGACCAACTCCGGCCTCTTCATCGCAGATCGTGAGGAAGCAAGCGACGCCTTTTCCTCCCCGAACCATGTGGGCTAGTTCCGCAAAAAAGGACCCTGATGGTCCCGCTAGCGCAGCTTGGAAGGTTCGGTTCCTTTTCGAGGGAATTCATGCGCCGCTTGATTTCAGCTCTAGCTAGACCGCGGCAAATCTCAATACACCATCTCGGCTGCCATTTCCTCGCCTTTCCCAAAGGGCATCGAGGTTGAAAGACCTGACCCAGAGAGCTTGGGGTAGTCACGTTTTTGACAGCCCGAAATCTAATCAGGTAAGGCGAGGGTGGCGAGGCGAGGCGAGGCGAGGCGGGAAACCTGTAGCGGGTAGGGGAAAGAAGTTTGGATCCTGTAATCCTCTGCCCAGTGCTTTCCGGCTGCTCCCAAGAAGCAGATTTACTGCAGAGCAAGCGGGTGCTGGCCTGGGGCCGTACTTGCCTATAAGTGGGGTTCCCACAATACACTCATCTAGATTTAACTAGTTTTCAGGTTTGTACAACATAGTGAATACCGAATATAGTAAACGAATGGACCTGGGCTGATTTGCAGTATGAATCCAGTGTAGTGCATTCATCCACTACAGAATCACTTCTCTCTGCCTTGACGATATTCCTTGCCACTACTCCACGTTTGAGCCAGAGGGCCTTACAATCCTACATTCTTAAGCCACTCTTTCACTAAGTTCCTGGGAGCTATAGCCTAACAGGCTGAAGAACCTTCGTGGTCATTGAAGGGACTGGTGCTGCCTTCAGTGCCTAAGGAGATTACTGGCAGGATGAAACCACCAAGCGATGGGGAATTTTTGTTTTAAGGAAACCAAAGTCTTCAGACTGAGTCAAAACCAAAAACCTGCCAGGATTGAAACAGAGGATCTTTGCCTGTTGAATTCTTATAAAAATATTGCTGGTTGCAGAAATATTCCTTCAGAGACAAAGGAAATTGGAGAAGAGCTATGTTTGTGGCTTTGTTCGCACAAGTTTAATCAGAGCTAAAGACTCTTAAATGTGGTGGAAAAATGCATTTCCACGTGTTTCTTTTTAAAAATATGACAGTATGTTGCGGGAACCCAGAGCATCAGCTACTTTATAATCCAACATTTTGTAGGAAATTGTTAATTCATGAACGAGCTTAAACTTCATATAGGCACATTCTGTCTCTTTGGCTTTCCTTTCACACTTACAATCTTTTCACTCACTGAACATCTCCCAGCTACACAATTCCTCAATTCATGAAGAAGTTTTCTTCTGGGTCATGCCACATGAAACATAAGTAGGGGACATAGGATTGGCCTCTGACTTAAAAGAAATAGCATTCCAAGGTCATTAGAATGCTTAACCATAGTCACTTGGAAGTTAGTTTACTGGTTTTCTATTGCATCTTCAAAACCTTCAAAGATAAAAATTTGTGTGAGAGTGAACTTTACTACTGGTTTTATAGGTTGTAGATGACATGTATGTTCTTACATTCATCCAATTCAATTAAAACAGGTCAAATAAAGACCTAGCAGTTGTATTTGATAAATGTAATAAATATTAAGATTAGCATCACTTTTTAAATGTTTGTCTTATTGGACAAACACAGTCCTCTTGTGTTAATCTAATATATGGGTATCCACAATTAAATAACTAGCTTATTTATGTAGCTGGTTACCATATCACCAAACAATACAGTATCACCAACCACCTCCAAAGCCACAGTGTGCCCCTTCTCCTGGAATTCTGGAGATCTGACATCCTTTAGTTTGGAAATGTGTAGTTCTCTATGGTTGCTCATTTGCAAATTTTATATAAATGGACACCGGTTTAATTTGGGTGGCCACTAAAATTTCACAGTGTTTACTTTCAAACTAAAACATAAGAATGATGGAGGGCTGAGTATCTTTACAAAATTCTCATGTTGTTAAATAATTTTTTTTAAAAGTTTGGTTTACAAAACACAATGCATCTCAAGCAAGCAAATCACAATTTGGATTTACATGCTTTGTGAACAAAGTCAGTATTTAACTGTACTATTCAGACACAGCCACCACTACTGCAATAAGAAACCTATGGCCGTCTACGGAGATTTTCAGTCATCCAGATCATGATTGTCCCAAAGGTACTTTTTCCAACTCTGTGTGGCCCCCCCCCTCTCGTTTGAAAACGTTTCGTTTTTCATCCAAGAAGCTTCTTCAGTTCTTTGAAAGCGAAAGGTTTGTAAAGGAAAGAAGGAAAAAAACCCGAAGAAAGTCCAATAACCTGGGGGGGGGAGCATCTTTGGGGAAATCTGTGGGCGGATAGTGCCAAACCAGCTGAAGCTGGGCAGGAAGCATATGATGATGTTACCATCTCAGAAGTGCCACAGGGGAAATAACAAAAAAGGGATTCCACTCTTTTTAAAAAAAATAAAGATATCGTTTTAAAACAATGTAATGTCTAGTGCCATTCCATTGTCAAAGTGCTGGTTGAGATTTTAGTTCTTTCAAAAAGACTCAGCAAATGTTCTAGCTTTGTCTACCGAGGCCAGGCAGGGGATCAGATCTGGAATTTGGGGAGGCCTCTTCAAGCCAGGAATGAATGCCGAGGTGTTCCCGCACACGTGTCAAGTTTCCGCTAGCCGAGGACACACCCGCGGTCTTGGCAAACCGCGCTGCTTTGTTTATGCGCCTCTTTGGCGGGTAGCGATTTGGAGGCGAGTACCCACGTTCTGACCTACAATTAAGGACGCGATCTCCTCTAAGCATACGCAGAGTGCCGGCCAAACTTTGCATCCTGCCGATCCTAGAAAACGCCCTTCCCTCCCAGACTCCGCGTGAGCATCAAACATCTCCCCCACCCCTAAAAAACAGCAACCCCGGATTCTTACCGGCTGCTCGCGCTTCCTCTTGGCGTCGCGGGGCTCGGCCTTCTTGAGCTCGGCCTTGAAGCCCTCGGCGGCCGGCCCGTCCTTGGCCAGCACCTCCATGAGGTAAGCGATGTAGCTGGTCGCCAAGCGCAGCGTCTTGATCTTGGACAGCTTCGTGTCGGCCGGCACGTTGGGGATGCACTCGCGCAGCTCGGCGAAGGCGCTGTTCAGGCTCTCGGTGCGACGCCGCTCCTTGCGCGGGGCTCCAGGCGCCGGGCCGGCCCTCCGGCGCCCAGGCAGGCGCCCGCCCAACTCCGAGGGGCTGCTGCCGTAGGACGAAGAGGGCGAAGCCGAGGAAGCCAGCCCGGCCGCGGCACACACTAGCTCCGGAGGCGGCGGCGGCGGCGGCGGCTGAGGCGGCGGAGACAGCTCGGCCGACGCTGCGCTCAACAGCCAGCCCTGCGCGAAGGGCCGGTCGGACGCCGCCGCCGCCGCCGGGAAACATCGCGCAGGGGGCGGCGGTGGGGGTGGCCCGAAGAGAAACGGCTCGTGGAGCAAGGCGGTGTGCGGGTGATGGTGCGGGTGGTGGTGGCCCTGGTAGCTCCCCACCACGTTCATGGCCAATGCCTGGCGCTACGAAGCCATGGGCGGGCGGGCGGGCGAGCGGGGCGCCTCCACACACCAGTCCCCGACCGGCTTGTCCACTCCGCCCCTCTTCGCTCGCCGCCTCGGCCCTGCTCCGTTCCTTCCCCTCAGCTCGGCCTTTATATACAGCGGCGGGCTTTTGATGTCACGCAGGGCAGGGGATGGGGGGGAAGAGGCGCGCGCACGCACGCACGGACGCACGCAAGCGTCCTGGCAGCGGCGAGGAGCTCACCCATCGGAAGCCGGACGCCCGGCCCGGCCTGTCCTGTCCTGTCCCGCCCGCCCTCCGGATCCTTGCCAGGCCTCCTCCCCGTTTGTGCCGAAGCTCCGAAGTCTTTCCGGAGACCGCTCCGAAGCAAAGAGCCCAGCGCTAGAATCAGTCTGGCCGGCTTTGCTTCCTTGCCGTGGGGATCGCCCAGAGAGGCTTCTCCGCCTCCGGTTTCCCCCAGGAAGTTGCTTCTGGATTGGAGACCGAAAGCCCGAGCTAAAGCCTGGCGTTAAGGGCTCGGTCGCATTGGATCGCTCCGCTTCCCCCGTTGTCGCTTTTCTTCGCCTCTGCAGTTCCCGGCCTTTGCTTCCCCGCTGGAAGGGCCTTCGACGACCGAAAGCGGATCGGCAGGGCAGGCATCACCCGCGCCACTCTCGCTCTCTTTATTTTATTTTATTTTATTTTTGAAAAAAAAAAGACTCAGCAGTCCGTCTCCATCGAGTCATCGGGTGATTCTCCCAGACAGCGAACTAGGCTGTGATCACAATCTAAGAGGGATACTTCAAAATTGCCCCAGTACCCACTGCAACAAAATAACAATAAAAGACGAGAGAGGATTGTTGTAACCTGCAGGACTTTAATATTGTATGCTACTTCTTTTATTTTCTTGGACTCTCACTTATCCCTGAAATCAATCTACATCTACAGTCCGATAAAGATGATTGTATTTCAGGACAATCTAATTTCACTACTTTATAAGCCCAGAGGGAGGGGGGATATTTTATCTCCAATTAGTAACCCATATATATTCCAGATTTCTGACTTTTAAAATTATTTTGATCTTGTGTGGGAGAGCTTTCCACCAGACCTGTACAGTATTTTGGTCGAGGTAACGTCTCCAAGTTTTGCACTAGAGGTTGAGGCTTTATCCTTATTGTCAGTGGAACTGTTGTCTTAGGTATTGGGTGAGGAAAATGCATTTCTTATTACTCCTAATCTGAGCCTGAATTTTCCTCTTCAGGCCATTAGGAAGAAGGAGGAATTAAAATCTGGACTGGAAGAAGTTTGTAAACCTGAGGAAAGGCGAAAGCCATCGTGTTTACTCTGAAAAGGGGAAAGGGAAAATCAATGGCCATTGATTAGGATATTACTTTTATTGGTGCAATGGAAGATTTAAATATTAATGTGTAAAATTTCAGGGATCCAAGAATTCATCATAAGGAGATAATCTTTGTTAAAATGAAAACATTAGATTTAGGGTGCAATTATCTGCCCATTTTCCTAAATGTGGAGTAGGGAAGCTCATCTGGACTTTGAGTAGTTCTCCAAAGAACTTCCCTGATGAAGGGCAATGGCAGACAACAAAGTAAGCAGTGAGTCCAATAGTTATTAAAATATTAATGCTTCTGCTCTGTATAATTCTGGTGCCTTGTATGAGTAGAGAATAAACACTGAAAACAAATCAACACTCGCAAAGTAATTTTAGTGGAGTTTTTAAAGTCAATTTTATTAGAAATGATAAATCAGGCTGAAAAATTGGTAAACCATTCATACAACACACTTTTTTTATAATTGGACTGAACAAATACCGAATACTTCCTGCATCTTCTCCTGTTCACAAAGTCATAATCAACTAGGAACAAACCTATAATACTGTACACAGCAGTCAGAAATAAATCTAATTACAATCAAAAGGGTTACTTCCTGCAATGCGGCTGCAGACACTACTACAGTAGGAAAATCCAGACTGGAACATATTTTAATAGCGTTTGTGGACATGTGAAAGATTCCCTGAGTCACTCTTTATTCCTGGCATTCTGAACTGAAATAACAGGGGCTTATAATAGGTTTGAATTCATTTTCTACGGTAGGTAAGTGACATTGTGTTGTGCAAGGCATTTCTATGCCTGAATGTCACTCTTTAGAATTCTCTGGGTATCAGCCATGCTGCTTCTCTCATCACATATGATGTTTTCTATTAAAAACAGAACTAGAAAATAGACCAGAGAGAGAGAGAGAGAGATAAAGAGAAGAAAATCAAGTTTGAATGGAAAAAATGATCAAATGGACCAGTAATCAATCTGCCCATCCAAAACCCACCTCTAACTTTCATTTGCCTGCAGCAAGTTTATTTTTTCTAGCTGGTGGACCTTTGTTTTTGTTTTTCTCTGCTGGAGCACTAACCAAGCCAAGATTTCTGTTTTCTGGACCAGCCTCCAACAGAGTGTAATGAATGTGTCTCCATTTGAAATGGCAAAGCCATTTTCTCCAGCTGCAGAAGCCCACCAAATGCATTGATTCATCATTCCTACTAGCTCCTTTAAGGAACGCAATGTTCGCATCGGGATTGTGGAAAGCATAAGCCAGTCTTCAACCCAATATTTCTGGAGGAAACTGCACTGCATTGTATTCTGCTTCCGGTGGTGCCTGGCCACCATCTCTGTTAGTCCACTTTTACCGTCCTCCAGGAAAATTAGTATGTGCTGGTTGAGGGTTGTGGGGGTTGTTGTAATCCAATGTATCTGTAGTGAATGTTATTGGAGAAGGACATTTCAATAGCAGAGGTATTAGAAAAAGAGGGATCCAAATCCGCTGGTTTAACATGTGATTCCAAGGGTGTCCTATCCTACAATAGTTAACATTACCCCAAGCGATGAAAGCAACAGAGGTTAGTGTCAAGTCAGGTGCTGAGATGAAGAAAATTTACCTGGGGTAGCCAGGTAGCTCTTTGGTTTGAGAGCTTAACAATTCTGGGGTGTAATTATTTGTTCGTTGTTGTCTAGCTTTCAGCCTCAACAACCTCACTGTGTGATTTTGGATACAAATAGGCCAAACCCGTAATGTTTTGATCAGTGGTCCTCTCCGTCCAGATATTTTTTTGGGGGGGATGCTGTCCTGAATCCCCTTGGATCTCCTGATGGGTTAGTTCCCACCGGCGATTTAGAACTTCTTCTACCTTTGGAGTCTGACTAGCCCTGAACCTTCAGCACTTGAGCAAAGGAACAGGAAAGGAGCAGCCCATACTATTCGCAGGACAATTTTTCTGAGCCAGTCAATAAGGACATTTATTTTGGGGAGTATCCAAGGGGACCAACGAGCTCCGCCCTCTTTTTCAAAGCGATTTCTCTCCTCCCTCCCCCCACCCGCTGCCCTGCTTCGCGCACCCCAATAATAGGATACTATATATACAATTATATTCACAATACTGAACCAGGGCGATACATTTCTGAGCCGAGCTTTGCCATTTCGGGATATTTTCCGTTTCCTTTATGTTTTCCCGTGATTTCCACCCACCCACGCCCGTGCCACCGCTAGATCTTAGAAGACGTTGTTCCGAGGAAAACGACGCGCGTTTTCATGGTTGGGAGAGAAAGAACCCTTAAGCGAAGCCCCGCGTCTTCGCCGCTGGCCTACCCAATACTCAGCTCCACTCTCGCCTCCCACCCCCGCACGCTCCTGTCTGCCAGGGGCATGTCGAGTCCCCCATTGCGGGGTCACAGGAATTCGTGAGACTGCTGCTCCCAGAGCCCCCTTTTGCACCAGGGCTGTTTCAGCTAGTGGCCCTTTCGCTGTTGCTTGGCAGAGTAACCCGAAAGGACGTGGGAGAGAAGAAGGATCGCCCTGAGCAGTCCCAGGCTTAAAAAGTCTACCGAATCCCGTGCACACTCTGTAAAGGCTGCTGGAAATCCGTCCGGACAGTGTCGGGAAACGTAGCTCCCATCCCCGTTGTCTGCATTTCCTCTGCCAAATGTGATTCAGAGAGGAAAGTGCCGCCGGCCTAACCTTAGATGCCATTACAACATGTGTATTCCATCTCTCCACCCCACCCCAAACTCGCGTGCTGCCGCTGTACCTTGTGACCGTGAGTTCCACAAGGGTGAATTCCTATGCTCTAGCTTTGGTGATAGGCGATAAAAGCTTCGTTGGATTCTCCACCTCGCCCATTTTCCACGCCAAGATTCAGCATGTCGACTCCCTGCGAAGTCGTGGAAAAACCAGAGCGCCTCTGCATGTGGCCTAGCGGCCGTTTCCCGGAGGAGCATCCTACTGGGCAAGATCGGGCCTGTTCCTCTTTAGGATGTTTGATTCGCCTTCCTCTTACCGGTATGCCTACTACTCCACTTCTAACCAACCTCGTCTTCTCCTCGGAGTTTCAAGGACTCGTCCTTCTTCGCCAACCTATTATTTCCCACACACCCCCGAAAAGCCCGTGGGCCAGGGACTGATGCGGGGGCCTCCTGCCCAGGGAGAGACGGACAGAGCAGAAGATGGGGACAGGCGGCAATGCCTTGGAGGGGATGGGGTGGGGGTACGATAGCGGCGAGCCTGGCGCCGCGAGGATGGGACGAGTCGTCCCTCCGGGGAGAATGGAGGCGACGCGGAGCTTCATTTCAGTCCCTGTCCCGTTTCTGTCTAGCCATGCGAGCTCCGACCACAGCTGAGCAGCGGGAGCGGTCCGCAGCTCAGCCGTCTCCCAAACAGCGATGGCGGCGGCTTCGTCGCTCAGCGGTCCGTGAGTTCTCGGCTAGCCACTGGAAACCTCGCCCGGGCTGAGGTCAAGGGCGCGCCACTTGGGGGGTTGTGTAGCTCCGCGATCCGTGCGTTAAAAGATGGCAAATGGCAATCGGCCACGGGCGCTCAATCAGAAGGAGCCAAGAAATGGGTTTCGTTCGGAGGCAATATTTCCTGTCCTCCGCTCCCCACACCCGAATTATTTTTCATTCTAGAAGTCTAGTTAGGAGTCGGCAACAATCGTGTTATTGTG